TAACTATCTGTAGGTTACTAAACACGTCGTAATACAGAGCCGATTGGTAAGCAATGTCTCCATTTGTTGTTAATTAACAACTTCATCTACGTGAATTAATTTATAAATCAATGATATTGGATTGCAACTAGCTACAAATATCAAGTCATAATAGTAACTTATATGGATAAAACTAAGTTCATCTAAAATCCGAAACAATGCTTGGATTCGTTCTTCAGACCAACGTGACACTAATGTATTAAACAAATATCTACACTAGGTACCCTGATAGTGTCTATTCTACAGGACTTTAACACAACTGTGACTGGCCGAACTATACCGTGAGTATATTTCAATGCCAACAACTGAAAACAACCATAACAACAATGAGTAGAAAGACAAACAACACACCTAATACCTACCAGGCTATCTACTGATCTGACTATGCAAACAACTAATCATCATTTTCCTCGCCCACACACTATTGGACTTTAGTCTATCTCTTAATATATTTCAGTGACTAAAATCTTCACCAGAACTTTGCAGGCTTTTGTGACGCTCAAAATGGATAAAGTGACTAATATAAAATACATTGCTATCACATGTTGCTGACGTATACAGAATTACTTATGACTTTGAAATAAGTAATAGCATTGAGCGTATCTAGTGATATAAAATCCGTAGATTTTACTAAAAGGCGCTCTGATAGCTACAAGTGGATCAGCATGAAAAGACTAGAAAAAATCTGTAGAGCCACTGTAGTGCATTTTTTCTAGATCATGAATAAATTGTACTATTGTGTGCAAAGTGTTTTTTGTTTCATAAAAGCAACACTAGCTTATGTTAAGCTTCGGTGGTTGGTTAAAGTTTACATATGTCTTATCTGTGGCCGCTAGGTACATACATATATGATCATGCGTACTCAAAAATTACTATGTTAACACTGTAAAGCTTACAAAAATAAATTAGTTTTTCTAAACAGTGGTTAAGTATCTTACTCAAGAGCGAATGGATGTAACCCAGGTGAGTAAACTATTTTCATCGGACTACGAAAATCCAAAGATCACTCAACTGAAATATGTTTTGATAATAATAAAAGCTTGTAAACAAGATTAATATTTGTTCCAATTAGTATAAACAAAAAGATAAGAAGTCGGTCTATATTATTGTTAGTTATACAATGAGAGACTTTCATACATTTTGGTATCATCGTCGATTGTTCATGCAATTTGTTTTCTTACTTGATAAAAGTCACAACTAGGACCACTGTGCTTCATTCAGAGCCCAAAACTAATCATGTTTACAACACAACTGGTGTTTGGTGCTCTTTTGTTTTCATTTTGCGTTCGGATGATATAAGTCAATGTATAAAAGTTTCTTTACACATTTTATATTGTAGTGAATCTTTTAATTATATAATAGGCAAACGAGAACTATTAAAGTGGTCTGAGATGAGTGTGATTAAATGGTAATGCTTAATAACAATGTATGAAGCCAATTGGTGCTCACTGCCCTCGATTTTTATGCTGATCTTACATCTCTTAGTATACACTGATACCAGTGAAATAAATCTTCTATCATAATAAATTTATATACGTTATTTTAGTCAAATGAGTCAATTTAAGTCCATAAATTCTCTTAAAATGATGCTCTTTATTACTGCTGTTTTCATACTTTTTTCTAAATGACATGTCTTTCTATTTATTTCTAAAGGTTGCATAGTTACTTTCCCATACAACAGATATAATAAATAGTGCCTGTTAATTGGTATGGTGGTTTATACCGTCTCATTGTTTACCGTGGCTTGTTACGAAACTAGGATAAAATCTTCTTGTATCTTAGCAACCAATTTCACTGGTTGTATTAATGAGTTTTATAATATTAGATTTCTTTAGATGAGCTTAGACTCTCTTTTTCAAATTCTACAGGTTTTTGAATTTCTAAATTATATTGAATCAGTATCTTGTTTAATTTTGTTTTACATGTTCCTCTGTGTATTATTTTCTAAAACTTAGGCGGTTTAATAAACGTTTTTCATTATTTGATGATTACTTCCATCAGGGTTATCAATTATGGGATGATATAAAACCATGAAAAATGGAGTGGATGCTCTGTCTTGCTTTATATCTCAGTAATTCATATTAGGTTTCTAACATTTAATGTTCTACATACCATTTCAGTTTCGTTTCAAGTACAATAGATTTAAGTCCCTGAGTCGGGGTCTAGTGATTTGCATCTTCGAATTAAGTTAATTTACTGTAGTGATGCAAACATTCAATTCGGTCGACAAGTTATAGTCTCACTTCAGGTATGATCGACTTCACAATTCATAAACTTGAACTGGAGCTTTGATAAATCCACCCAAAATCTAGTTATTTGTTAGTACACCGTTATTAGTAGGCCTGGTAGTTAAGTGAAACGTTTTGTGACTAGTTTCATCATGAACTGTTCATTTTAAGGTCTCTTTTTCTGGTTATCTATCTTTCTAATGTGGTCTTAAAAAGTGTGACAAACTGAACCGATTTGCTCTCAGTTTCGAATGATACCTTCGTTTGATCTCTTTGAATCGGCAGTTAACAGTCAATTTTATCATGCATGCAGACTACGATTTGTCATTCTTGATTTATTTACCCCTTTAGTTTATATTTTAAAAAGTTCTTAAGGACTGTTTAACCCGTAATACGTCAATATCTTGCAGATAATAAGCAAATAAGAAATCAACTGAAGTAGGATAACAATATTATTATCAAGGTTTAACAAAAATGTGAATGTATTTTCATTGATGAGATTTCCTCGAAATAGGAAAATTCAATGCTTCTTAGCCTCTATCCTTGTATTTCAAGGAGTCAAGTGACAAACGTGATTCACAATAGTAAGCAGACAATTAAAAAAAACCAACGTTACCAATAATTTAGCGTAGTTGACTACTTTTACACTATCTTACATTGTATATCAAGATGTAGATTTTTACCAGATACACAATCATATTTCTTAAACACCCTATCCAGTAGACGTTAAAAGTCTTCATAGGCTTATCTGATCTTGATTATCTAGGTGTGTAGAGACCAAAAAACATTAGTTTACGAAGTTCTAGTTCCCGTTAGTGCCATATTATTGTCCTATATATTATATTTTACCTGATGACTGCACATTTCGTCAACTTATTTCTTCGTCAAATCGTTACAAAAGTAAACAGTATTCAGCGATTATTCATCATAAAAATAAAACCTAGTATGTTAAATCTTAATGGATTAATCTAAGATTTTATCTTTTATTTTTAATTGTACTGTAAAACATGACAGGGGGGTGATCTAACCAATTACTTAAAACAAGTGAAGAGTGAAGGAGAACGTATCAGTGAAAAAATTATTGGAAAATGGCTTGTACAAATTATATTGGCCACAGTTTATATGCATAAAAATAAAATACTTCACCGTGACTTAAAAACAAGGTTGTTTTCTGATTTTTTTCAATATATTTAGTTTTCAATTATAATTTGGGAATTAGATTTTCTAAATTGTAATTTAAGTCAAAAAACTAAGAACGTCATTTTGTCCTTTACGGAAATTTTGGAGGGAATTACATTTAAAAATTATATGATTCTATCCATCCGTTTCCTAATATTCAGTCAGTATGGAATCGTAAACAATGTTCGGAATTTTTCTATTCATTTAGTGAGTGAGTGCCTTATATAAGAGATCGCTGTTTCACAGCCTAACTTTCATTATATATGGTATCTTTCATTCGACATGTTGGGATGCGCTGCACTGAAGTGACCGTATCATACAAATGTGGATAACTTTAGATACTTCAAGTGAAATCCCAAGTGAAAATTATACTCTTAAATGCAGCATTTTTCCATAAAATGTACAGAAAAATGCCTAAAATACTAGATACAGCATGCTCAACAAATATTGGAAAACAGATAGATAAACCCAATATAGAAGTTTGATTCAAAGAAGGATGATCTTGAAAGAGGAGACGATAATATCTAATTTTAATAAGTAATACATTTCTCATATTACAGATTTGGACCTAGTGAGCAGAAAATAATAAGATGGCTATTGGGTATGTAGGTGCAAGATTCAAAACGCACGTTCTGGATTCCACAGCCACGTAAAATCTGTTTCTTAAAAAATCTCACGGAAAAAATAATTATATCAAGGCAATGTACCCAGGATATACATATGCCAACTAAAATTGATCAAAATTCAATTAGTAATATCAGCAACGTAATAAGCTAAACTCTTTCAAAAAATTACTTGATAGTAGCCTTTACAAAGTGAAGTTTGCTAAAGAATCATCGAGAACCCGAAAACACTGGATCTAACGAAGAAAATGTGTTCAACCGGCATATTGTTTTCAGTACCACCTTATTTGATTTTGTTTCCTATGAGTTAGGCCTAAATTATACACAAAATATATAAGACTAGCAAACAGTTTTTAATGTAAATATAAATCATTGAGGTTTCCAGCTTGTCGTTTGCAGGCAGTTCCGAATCTTTACTAAAATATTTGAACTCGGAAAGATGTGAATAAATAATTACATTTAAATAAATAAACCAAAAAATCTCAATGATACTGCAACTGCGTATAAAATTAATGAAGATTACCTTAAGTATTTATCACAAGCTAGGTCTTATTTAGGTTGTTATTAGGAATGCTTCCCATGTAGAATGTTTATTGCAGCATTGACCATATTTATTGAATTAATTGAGGAATTGGATTTTTAAGAAGTGATTTGAATTTTCGGAAACATTTTAGGTAAAACTTATGTTTTAAAATGGTTTTAGTAATATATTTTTAAAGAATGGGAATATTAAAGTTGGTGATTTCGGTATTTCGCGTTCACTGGCCACAACTGAAGAACTGGCAACTACGTTTATTGGGACTCCTTATTATATGAGTCCGGAAGTTTTGAAGTACGAAGGATATAATAATAAATCAGATATTTGGTAAGTTGAATGTCTTATAGTAAATGATTTGTTAAGTAGCTGACAGGAAATCTTGAACCTAGGTTTCATGTTCATTGAAATTTAACAGGTAAACGTTTTGGTGGCCATTTGTCTGACTCCAGTATGATGATTACTATCGAAACGTACATGACGTCAATCCTTGTATACAATTATCGAATTAAGTCGCGTTAATGAATAACAGGATTAAATAAGTTAAACACAAGAATGGATTTTGAATACGTATGTTTTATGCAAACGTTGATCTGGATATACAATCACGGAAACGAAGCGAAACGGAATGGAAAAGGCAAATTATCTGAATCGATTTAACGAAGCGTGAAAAGATATTTATAGCCAGACAAAAATAAGTAACAGACATGTGATAAGTAATATAAGAAATGTACACGTATACGCTTATATAGAAATATTCAAGGTTGATAAGCAAATAATTAAAAAGGCCAAAATGTGACTCAAGAAGAATGGATAAATTGATCTGTCCGGAAGCCAAAATAGGCTATATCGGCTTGATGTAGCGACCGACAGTAAAACGTATTTGCAGTCTTGTGGGAACTGCTGCTACTCGGTCGGATCAATCTAGCGTTATCATCATTCATAGATCTAGATGGTGACCACTAAGCTGTTGGAGCTGGAATTAGCCTCTCATAGAAATGTGATATTAACTAATAACTGACCGATAAATGGTGATCAATATCATGTTTCTCTAGTTCATTTAGAGCTGCTCATATAACAAAGATGGAGTTGAAATGTTTTCACAAGTCAGAATGACTTGATATGGCGTGCACAATGTTGAAATGTTGATTGGTAATAAGATAACATGCAAAAATTTATATGAGTTTACTAGATGTCCAGAGAGCTGCAAACACCATTGCATCCTAATCGGTCAAAAAATCTGAGTTCCAATCATCTCCATTTTGTCCTGTATTCTGCTTACATCCAGGTTATTTTATCAGGCAAAAACAAACCATTTCTTCAACCAGCTATATTTTTTGTTTCTAGTTAGTTTGAGAGAGGAGATTACACCATCAACTAGATTTTCACGAGCTGTGGTCACTTAGTCACTTCATGTTAATTCAGTCGATCAACTGTAACAGCACAACATTTCTTATCCCATACCATGACAAAACAACAGTTCAAGGCTCTCAGGTATCTAACGATTGTCTAACTGAAGCCAGTCCATTATGTGAGGCTAATAATTCGACAGATTCCATAACTCACTATGTCGACATGCTTTCAGTTTCTATGCTTTCACTGTTGCTTCAATGAAGATAAATTTTCAATTGGGAAGAAACCGATAGAACATTCATTTGCAATCAAAATACGCATAACTTGAATCGGAATTTCATGTAGTCTACTGATTGTATTAAATAGATAACACTTTACACATAGCGCAAACTATCCACAAACATGTGGCTTAGCATTTCTTATCTCCATCTCTCTCCCTCCGTCATTTATTTCTCCAAGTTATTTCCATGTCTATGACAAGCATAATCACATTTTGGTGATCACATATCGATTTGTCTCTCACTGAATTTGATTAGCACCAATAATCTGTTCACGATCTGTTACAGTGGATGTATAGTGCAATGAAATGTGTCAAATTTATGAAAGTAGATCAGCAGATGAGTAGATAAACAAAGAGAACTGAATAGATTTTCTGGAGGGAAACAGAATGGCTCAACTATCGATTAGAATACAGAAAATTAGCTCACATTTCGAATACGTAATAATTTCAAGTGGCTGATCCATACATTTGTTTCTTAAACAGATTTACAAAATTGAACATTGAAATCAGGTGTTACTGTGTGACTGGTCTGAAGTCGATTCGTATTGTGACAGTTAACTTTCTAGCTTGCATTATTCATACTCGAGTTCAAGTGTTTTAGAGATGAGATTTCGGTGAACTCAGTAAGTTCAGTGAGAATGAATTTCATCTTAGTTTGATGAAGATACGATAGTCAATAATATTGAGATTTACCGAGAAAATTATCACTGCAGTCCTATAATGTAATTCATATTATTTTAATTAGGCATCTGAAATTTGTATTTACCGTATAGAAGTAAGTTTCTAATATCTTCTGTTTGATGTTTATGTATGTGTAATTGTCTAGAGATGTTCTGAAGTGTGAGTTGGATGTTGTTTGACCCTTTTATGATTATAAAATTACCAGTGTAAAATATCAAAGACTACAGCGTAGTGATGTCAAGTCACTTGAACTGCTAATCAGATTTCAACTTGGTCAGTAGAATTCGTTGTTTCCTAATAGATTAGATCGAAATATGACTGAATGATCAATCAACCGTAAATAGGTGATTTACATAACATTTTTGGCGATAGAAATACATTATTCAGGTAAAATACTTTAGGTATGGGCACACTTATTTATTCATCCTTACTAACACTGGTCTCTCATTTAACGTGGTTTTTACTATACTTTACTATTAGTTAAGCAGTTTCTGTAGCGTTTTAACTGTTGTATAGGTCAATCGGAATAATTCTGTATGAACTATGCACCCAAAGAAGAGCATTCACTGGAACTAATTTAATGCGTGTTATGTGGCAGGTGATAAATGATCCTTGTCCTCAGCTACCGGAAATTTATTCAAAAGAATTGCAAGAGGTTTTAGAACTGTACGTAGAATTAATGAGAATTTTATCCTAATCAAATGCTCTATTCGATATACTTATTTTAGTGTGTATGCTATGATATTTTTATTCGTAAACGTCTCAACAAATTTCCACTTCCTTTGACTAGTAGTAGTAAGTGCTAGTAGTTAAACACTAGCAACGATAAACTAACTTCATTTTTGAGTACTCGGCCAATTTTAAAGTCAGATGACTGAAATAGTTAAGGTTAGTGTCACTGGTTGTCGCTGGGCTGAGACAGTGAGAAAACATTTTTTGATCATAAAATTAATACTTTCACAAAGTCTCAATGAGTATAATTATTTATTTTCCGTAGGAGCCACTCATACTGAGTAACAAAATATCAGAGAATTTAATTTTTTACTCATTGGGATATTGCAAAAATGTTGTTATTTTATTACTAACATTTTACTAAATTCTTAGTTTATTCGAAAGTATCAAGTCAAACCTTGTTAATGATACCTACAAATCTTTTGATTGTGTTATTCTTTAAGGAGTGTTGAACACATTTGATGACTGTTTTAGAAAAGATTGAACTGTAAGTAAATTAAAGTCAGTATATACGCATTATATTTGTAAAATCATAGCATATTTTAAGTGGATTTACTCAGAGCTATGGCCTAGCGATTTCATTCAAGTTTTTTTTCGGAGGATTTAAAAATATAATTTATTTATGGTATTATTTCTTACAATCATAATTTAAGGTACCATTTTGTTAGCAATCTGTAGAAATAAGATGATGGTATATATTCCTGAAAATGATATGAATAGTTTTTGATATTTGTCAGACTGGTAAAAGCGACCTAGATTCAAAACAACCCTCCAGTTAGTTCATAGAGTAATCACATCAACACATTTATGATGGTAGACAATTGAATGAATAAATGATGCATAGAATAAGACTTATCATTTTCACAATATTATTTTGACATGAAATGTGTATTTATACTGGATTGCTTATGTGATAGTAAGCTATTAGCATGGAGATTTAGAAACTTTTCACTTTCGAAATATTATCGACACATAATAACTGTTAATCTTCTAAATCTCTCTTATTTTCTGATCAAATTATTCACTTAATAATTTATTCTATTTAAAACTATTAGTTACTATTTAATAACTGTCTAAATTATATTCTAGAATGTTAAAGAAGACTCCCCAAGAACGACCATCTGCTTCAGAACTTCTTCAATCAAATGCGGTTCACTCGTACTTACGTGTAAGTTCATCTCATTCTTACCGATTTTATTTGCTGGTTAGCCAAAATCGATTTAGTTGTATGCTCTTATCATCTCAAATTATTTTATGCTGGATATTAGATAAAACTATTGGGCAACTTTAGCAACATCTGATATTGTATAGATGACTACAGAAAATCATAAAGTATGTTGTTTAGAGATTTTTTACGAGATTGTTCATATCCATTCACAATTAGATTTCAAACTCTTAGTTTCAATCATCAACACATTAGTTTTTAATTTGTTTTCACCATATATATTATAAGTAAATTCACGAAATATTATAATGTAACATTCAATGTGTGGATTGTATGATATGAATATTCAAGTAACTTCAATCGAACACCATACTCCCTATACTGTTTAAGATTATTTAATAAAAATGAATTACATTTTAGTATTAGTATGATAAATGTTTGAGAAACCTCTGATAATTCATTATTAACTTAATAAATATTATGCATGATCATACCAACCGATATTTTTGGTAAATGTTAAACTATATTCGACTGAATTTACTTGAATATTCATAGCATACAATCCACACATTAAATGTTACATTATACTATTATACTATATATACATATATTGGGAAAACAGTTTAAAAACTAATATATTAATGGTTGAAACTAAGAGTCTGAAATCTAATTGTGAATGGATATAAACATTCTCGTCGGAAATCCTTAAACAACATACTTTGTGATTTTCTGTAGTCGTCTATACAATATATATAATTCTGGGTATTTATTTTAATTTAAATCTTTAGGATTTATACAAAGAAATCATAATTCACATGCAAAACGAATTATCTGATGAAAATCGAAAGGATGGGAGCGAATTTAATCTGTAAGAAAACTGAAGTGCATAATCCAAAAAATATGTTTGTTTGGTTTTCTATTCCTTAAAGTAAGAGCTTGTATAAACGAATATTTCCCCCTAATAGACATACTAGCTTCAACTTATGTCATATGACGCTAAATTTTCCCTTTTAAATCTTAATAATTATCATCGTTATTAGTGACAAGTAATAGAAAGTAGTTGAACGGTTAAATCATTCATTTTTTTGAGATGTGTTACCGTTTTCCAACTTCGTTGTAGCTACTAACATTTTTTTGCAGCCCTACAGTACTATTATCCTGAACGTATAGTAATTCTAACGATTTCTAAATTGAACATATTTGATAACAAGGAATATTTTCGGTCTTATTAATCAAACTGTTTGAGATACCTTTTGATATGTTTAGTTAGTGGTAAAGAGTTTATATCTCGAACAGAAAGTGTATCAATACATCAGAGAATTTCCAATTGTCAAATGTTCAGTACAATATAGCCATTTATTCCATTTTTGAAAAAATTAATTGCATACTTACGAGGTTGTTTGATATTAGAAATTATAATTGTTTTGATATTTCGAAGCTTCAGTATATATAGTTTGTAGTTAGCAGTAGAATCCAGCTTAAGCGTTCCATTCCATTCGGAACTAGTCGTCTGGACATATTTGTATCCTAGTGTTGGCATTCGCAGTGAGACTAGATGCCAACATTCTATATACTAAGTTAGTGAGTCAAGATAGCCACTTGTTCAATCGACTTGAAGACGTCATGACTTGATAATACATTGATTATTTCAAGTTATGAACGAGCGGAAGATTTTTTAAATGCAAAACTGGATCTTTCGAAGCCAGACGGCTATTGCACAACCGTTAGATATACGGGAATAAATGAAATGGTATAGAGAAGAAAGGATCTTTAGAATAGCTCCAATATTCCCCAAAACAGAAATAAAAACGTGATGCAACAATTACTTATATATAGTAACAGCAATGACCATGAAAACAAATATCCTAATAGCTTGTTAAGAAAGTAAGCAATTAGTGAGTGGAAAACGTCAGTGTGATAATATGAAGTAAAGTCATCAAAGAATTAGTTATTTGTGGAAACTACATTTTGTTAACAAAATGTGAAAAATCAAATAATTTAACACTTAAACAAGAAATACTAGTATAGGGTTGCAAATTCTGATTGGTGATATTAAGGGTTGCAGTTGATTAGTTTTCGTTACTATACATTCATCCTGAGCTGGTTTCTTCTCTATAGCCTTTAGTCATTGTTTCTGTAATTTTAGACTTATGTCGTTTGAAGAATTTATGAGTTTACCTGATTCAGTTTTGCACAAACAACAGTCGATTGAAAACGCTGAAAAGTTTTCAATACAATCAAATGAAGAGATTGAAGAGAATGTAGAACATTCAGAAGATCAGTACTTAACGCCACGTCAAAAAATCAAATTAAATAAAGCAACTGAATCAGATAGAACTACCGCAGTCTTAAGGTATTTCAGCAGTTATTATATTCTTCTATCAAATTATTAGCATGTTTGTCTATTATATGATGAATGATTCTTAGTTCTAAGTAAGAAGTAAAACCTTTTGGAATCACGTCTTGAACAGAAATACCAAATTTAAAATATAGTGTGATCCAGTCATTATAGACGCTTGTTGAGCATGTAATTGCTTGAAACTGAAACCATGCGAAGTACAATGATAAAATTCATTTTCTGGGTAAATATCTCGTAAAATAAATAATTTTGATTTAACCAAGAATAAAATTAGATCATTTGGTTTTTTACCATACGTTAGACGTTTTGTTCTTAAAATCAAAGAGCTCAGTTTAATGTGAAGATACTCTATGGTGTTACTTTGAAAAAAAATAAAAAAGATGGAGCACTAAATCACTGTTTAGTTGTAGGCCAGAACTCCCAAGCCGTTTGGAAATACTACTTCATAAGGGATTAAGCACACGATCTCTAGCTTCTTCAGAGAGCACAATACCTTTCGAGCATTGAGTAATAACTGTGTTTAAAATTTTCGAGTTGAGTTTACTCCCGACTTTGCACAATGATCAATACTATCTCTTAATATAGATCAATTCCTCTAACGATGATTTCTTGAATAGTCATTTAGGCAGAACATCTCAATATTGCGAAACAGTAGCTATCAGTGGAATCCAAGGTGCATATTTTGTACTGTATAAATATTGACAGATTGACGGATATGCTTCAGTCATAGTGAATGCTAGTGTTCACTTCAACACTAAAACAAGTTATCGCAAAAAATCCCACCCGTTGATGATCAACATACTGAGTTCGATGTGTACAATTGTATACCATCCATGCAAGACTTATTTTGCATAGTCAGTGAAATATGGTTTCTTATCCTAAATTCCAAATATTTTTTATCATTAACACAAAAATTAAATAATTTTTTTCTTCACTATGCATTATAATTTAGAGATTTAGCAGAACAGCTTACATATACTCGGAATAGTTTAAATTCTACAAAGGAAATACAACTGGTCACCTGGCAGGTAACTTGTTTTTTGAAGCCTATATGATGGTTTGGTGAATGTTCTCCAAATTTAATTTATAATCAATCCATTGTTCTTTATTCAATTAAAAGTACTTTAATAATAGTACTAGTTCTTTAGTAAAAGGTTTGATAACAGGGATGTTAACAGGTTATCCTAAATGTTGTAGTTTTGTCTACTCTAGAAACAATAAATCGACTAACTCATTCGCTTAACTCGTCAGAAGATCGATTAAGGACACAAAGTCCGATGTTTTCGATCCTCCGATCAGAAAATCAAAAGGCTAGATGAATGATTGTAGATATCTTTTATCATTTAGATATATGACTCATACGATTGTAATAGTGAAATGCAATATCACAACGCACTAAAAATAAATCTCAATGAGTGCATAACTAGGACATTTGATAAAAAGAAGAGTAACAGTCAGCTGGTTATCATTTACAAAAGATAACAGACAGAAACAATTAATCGGTCAAAAGGTAGCTTTTCATCAGCTTTATGCTATTAAATATATACTAACTAATTCACTAAGGAATTGCTACCAAAGTTCCATATTTCTTTTTTTTTCACACTTCTTTTTAAGGTCTCATGCATGAAATATGTTCTTAAATGTACATGAAATTAAATTTAGTTAAATTAAAAATAATCATTCGATAAGAAGACAAGTACTCTTAATCTTTTATTGCATAGTTTTACTGTGAGACGATAACGTAATTGTTGTTTAAATGCACAGCTACAAGAAGATATCTATTAAAACAACTATGTTCTGTACTGATTATGTGTGAGAATAGTGTTTTTAAGTGTTGAAAGTATAAAACTGTTTTTTTCCACGATTATTAAATCCGCTGTAAAGTTAGTCTGTTAACATAACTTTTAGATTTGATATATGCTGAGTGATTGCTACTAATGAGACATTTTATACTTACATAGTGATTTTCAAAACTCATTTTTATCCCAATCTATTAATATTTGATAGTCCAATCAATTTGATTTTCAGTATGGGGTTGTGGAAATTGTTGAGTTTTTGATTGAGATCATGAATCGATTTTTTTAATTGTTAGCCTAAATGTAACTAACTTCTAACACACTAGGCTATGTAGTAATATGAAAGTTTAAGACATTTATATAATTTCATAATGACATGCGTTTACCCTATAAAACGAAAAAATACTCACTTTTCTCCAACGGAGTACATTGAAGATCTTACACGAAATGAAATTCAAGGCTTTCAGCAGTTACAACGAGCATGATATTTTCTGGACAATCTATCTTCAAAATACACTATTCTTCCTAAAATACCTAAGTAACCCGTTACATAAACCAATCCGAAATGTTATTAAAACTTTCAAAGTAATAGTTTATTCGGGCTTATTACCCACAGGGTTGCAAAATGGACTGATAAGGAATATTTTGTATCTGACTGATTTCTTTGGAAGAAATGAACTTTCGGTTTACTGATGTAACATTTGTAACAGTAAGATAGAAACGACCTTCGGTTTAAGAATTATTGATTAACTGATTGGTTGGATAAATATATATTTGACTGATTGCAGTCGGCAGAACCCTTATCCAATGCTAAATTTATCCTCATCTCAATGGGGGATTTACTATAACGGCGATTCTAGCATTTGAGCGAGTTGCACATTACAGTATTTATATAAAATATGATAATGCAACTTTTGAATAAAAGTAATTAAGATTAATCTTTCTAGTTAGGGAGCGACGAACACATTGTTTACCATACTAAAGATATATTTACTGCTATATACAAATCATTTATGCAAATCTCATACAATTTATATACAAATGGCATGAATAAAAAGTATTACGATTAGCTTCAAGTTAACGTTTTTGTGCGTTATTTTTCCAGATTAATTTATCCACAGTGTAAACTTCTAAATTTTCAGCTAATAAACGTTCAGTAACTTACAGTTTATCCTAGATTGAACTTTAATTCATTCGTTTTTCTTACAATTTAGAAAGGATATCCATCATTGAATCATATATGGCCTACTATTCAAATGCCTACAGAGAAACTTCTAAATGAATTAAAAAACCTTTATTTAGAAAAAATAAACAATGAAACAAGCTTGATGGATGAACTAGATGATGATTTGGAAAATGAAGGTGATTTATTTTGGTCAAAGAAATCAAATTTAAATAGTGAATAAATTCTAATTCATATTTTAATCTAGACAACACTTAATATAATTTTAATAGTTTACATCCCCGACTGATCTTAGCTAGAAAACCGTTGGAAACCATGAGATGCTGAACATCTGTCTCATCAAAGTGTCGGACTCTTTAGCAGTGTACACTCACGACTGTACCTGAGATCGAACCAAGAACCCTTAAGGTCTCGCGGTGAGTGCTTAACCTTCAGATCACTGAGCTGAAATCCAATTGTGTACATGTCTAACTTCAATCAAGTCGCAAGAATAAGCAACCACTTTCCATTGCTTTTGGTGGGTGAAATCTCATGATTGATATGGTTGAACTCCAGTGGTCTCATAATCTCATTAGAACTCCAACAGTTGCAACCTGATGCTCGTCTTTAGGTGAGCACATGATTATTACTGACACAGAGGGTTTGAGAAAATTGTCTAACTTTCACATTTTACGTCACGAACTGATCTTAGTTAAACAATCAGTGAAAATCAAGAAATACTAGATGGCAAAACCAAAGGTCTTTGATTCAATCTCTGTACGAGTAGTGCTTGTGTACTAACGAAGATTCCTATACTAGGAGAAAACATCTGTCCGGTGCTCCTAGTTTCCAGTGACTGTCTAACTAAGATCAGTTGGTAACATGATTTTTCTACAAACTTTTTCGATTTATACAAAAATAATAACTGAATTTGAGAGAAAAATGTAGATGTTGCCAGATTTATGTAGTTTTCTGTTAGTCTATTAACATGTTACTAAGATATACAAGGAAGAACATCTAGCGTTTACTCATAGTTCTATTCACCACCTATTTCCAAATAAATTAACTGATCATACATGAATAAACATAATGAAATTGATTGTTACTTAATGATCAATTTGTGTAAACATGTGAGTCATGCGAAATGTCAATAATGTCTCCAATAGCCAATGATAATGACTCTGACTGTGATATAAGAGATATCGCTTGAAATTTCACAAAAAGATGAATTCTTTCAAAATACCTAGAACACTTCACTGATTGGTATCGACAGGGCACGACTAGGGTTTTCTACCAATAGTCTCTAACCGCTTAATAGATCACCTATAATTCGGCTTCTTCTACTCAGCTCCATAAGTTGTTAATTAACTAATTGTAGCTTAATGATACTTTGATTAAAGTTTGTAAGGCTTGTGAGATGATGTTAGGTGATTGTAAGCAGTCGAAAAGCAGCCGTGGTTCTCGGCTCAGTAATAGTTGATACTTGTTAAGAAGATGTACATACAATCGTGAAAAAATCTATTAACTATGATCATTGTGAATTAATATGGCGCTTCACTGAAGGGAATAAATATTAAACCTGTTTTACTATTTGTGTGTATATTATGGTGCATTTGTCTATTGACACAGAATATGTAAAAGCTGATAAATAAAAGTAACGAAGAGTAAACAGACAGTTATATTAGTGATTTCATCGGAACTTGTTCTAATTCACTGTATAAGGATTTTCACATCTACAAGCTTACATGATTTAGTCAATAAAAAGTAGTGATCTCATTCCATAGATATTCAAAACAAGGCAATAGAATGAAGTAGTATCACCCAGTTCAGTAACATTACCTTGCTCTTTATGATATTTATGTTGAAAATAAATTAATGATAGAATTTAAACATTCAACAGTCAAGATCTTAGACTAAATAAAACAAGTGAAAACCAGTAGACGTTGTCAAAAGTGTTAAATTATCTATCATGTGATATGCAAAATGATTGAAATCATCGAGAGATGTTGGTAAGTTGCATAAATTCATAGATGGTTTCCATACAGAGCCGTTAATTAGTTAAGTATATTCAGGAATTTTGATCACAATTAAAAATATTATAAATGGTACGTATTTTTACGATCACCTGGTAAGTAATTTTGTGAAGCAAATTTTCTATTCACTATACTTACTATTTTTTATTTTATTTCTAGACAATAAAAAATTGCCAGGTAAAGGTCCAGGTGCTGAAGATGAAAGTCTTGGAACATTTAATTTTTCAAATTCTACAAAACATAGAAATGAAGAAATCGAAGATTTAACCAACAATATGAGTTTTACTGAAATAAAATTTTTTTATCCTTCACCTAGATTAACAAGTCCAATTTATGATTATGTCACAATGGATGAATTTAAAAAACAAGTTGATATTGATGATAACCCTAATATTATTAAAAAGAGTAATAATAATCAAGAAGCTTTGTTTATACGTCGGCAATTTACGTTTCCAGCAATGTTAAATCAAAATTATACACAATCAGCAAGACAACTGAGTGATATTAATAGTTCCAAATTGAAATGTAATAGTGGTAAGTATGCAAATTATGGAATTAGCTTGTTGCACAGAGAAGTTTACAATTATTGAAGCTACACAGTTTTTTTTTCCACGTATGTATGTCGCATCCCTATCGGTAGCACATGAGCTTTCGCCCATGAATTCAATGGCATACAAATAGGTATAATTACTCACCTAGGAGCGTAGGTGATCACTAATCCCTTCAAACGTATTTAATACAATAGACTGTCTATTACGCATAATATGAATATCATAGGTACATAGACTTTCGTCCATGCACTTCATGATATGTACATACGCATAAGCACTCTCAGGGAGGGTTAATAGTAAACTTTGTTACTTCTTATTTTAGTAATGCCTTCAACCTGGTTTAGGCCGCTGATTTTATTAGACGTAAAGCAGATATTTCAACTTTCTTTGCTTATGCTAGTCCAGTGCGTACCCTATGCACATGTCAAAATGCAAAGCTACATAAGCTGACGTTTGTGTAAATCATATACATGAGGGTACACATCGGACAGCTCTCAAGATTTGAGGAGTTGGAGGTTGGGCTTCTAAGTGATCCAGATACAGCAGATTGGCGAATTAGTCCGATCTCCGCCAAAGCTAGCTAACAGGGTTGTCCCTACTACCAAGCAGCGCCACAAGGAGGCCTCAGGTCGAATTTTCATAATCCGACCTAATTTTGTGACCGTAAAATGAATAAGAATATAAATCATGTTTGGCAATTTTAATAAAATTTGTAATTAAAATTTCAACTAATCTTATTGATAATTGTTGTTTTAGTACTCGTATGAATTTTACTTCATTTTTCTAAAAAAAATTTTATTTTAGTATTTACTGACGATACCCAACTAATGGAAACTTATTACACAAATTATGATAATGAACTGTTAAATTATACAAACAATTTCAATAAGGAGGATTTAAAAGAATTAATAGAAAATGAAAATATTCTTCAAAATGATCTGGAAGATATAGAAAATCAAGATAATGTAGATTCAACTGAAACATTGAACGATGTACTTGTCTGCATGAAAGCAGCTTTGTGTCACCCTGAAGGTTGGATCATACAATTGTTTAAATTTATGTTATGATCTTATAATATTCATGTTATATGACTGTAAATGTTCTGTAATGTTTGAAATAGGTCAGTTAGCGACAGCTAGTTGTAATTAGCAAAAGATACAGACTAACAGTATGGTTTCGTAGTCAGTTACTTATCACGACTTGTTATGTAAGAGCAAAAATGGGAATTTTTTCTGTTATTTGGGATTAACAATGAATAGTTAATAAGACGACTGCATGAAAGTTGGGTAACAAGATTATTAAAAATTTTAAGTTGGATTAAAATTAAAAATTAAGTTAAAGAAAGACACTTTTTAAATGAAACAGTAGCAATTAAGAAGATGCATAAAAATTCGCTGTTTACAAAGGTTATTTTTATCCATATGTCTTCCTATAGCCTCTGGTGTGTGCAAGAGTCAGGTTCTGGAATCATAGGGTAAGTTCTTTGAGATTCTCTGAATAACTTTAAAAGCTGGACTTTTATCAACGTGATGACTTACCAAATAAATGTGACCAGGTAGAACTTCATAGTGTTTTATTTTGTTTTTTGGTCAACCATGAGAGGTGATCTTTAGAAACATGGTGATGCATTTGTCTCGTTATGCATTTAAGAGCAAGAATATTTGAAGTGGTAAGTACTTATAGAAACAGAAGAACTAGGCAATTCATCCTTATTTCGCTAACTCACTGTTGGGTGGTTGGAGAAGGAAGGGCATAATATAACTGCGTTGAATTTACGTCCTGTGCTTTCTCATTTTCGACGAATGACCATTTCTCTTGCTATATCACTCTATAACTGTAATTTCGAGAATAAAGGTTCATTCGGTACCGTCAGTGATTTGACCTCATCTTTAGTTCCAGACATGTTTCGTTAAAATATTTCATGAGGATTCGAATTTACTCAGTAAATCATGAATAGATTTTAGTTCATCTTGAAGAGTTCATCATGACAAGTAATTTTGGCTATGTGGGCTATGTACTTGACTAAGTTTCTTTTATATTGTATTGGGACAAAGCTGAAAAATGTGTATATCTATTTCATGTAGACGGTTTATGATAAACATATTTTCTCATTTTCCCTCCAGTTCTTTTCGTCAGTAAAAAGTGACAGTTTTCTTTTTTCTTAGTGAAAGTGATTAGGGGACTCTGTTAAACGTTTCTGGTAGGCTCTAAGCTTCACTATTGTTTTTTTGTAACTAGAAAATATATCATACATATAGCAAAAATATAATCTTTCGGGGTTTGTTTTGTTGATTTGATCCGGGTATATTTTTATGATTACAGTTTTATTCTTTGAATGTAAATATACAACATTATATTAAACTTTTAGACAGTAATACAATAGTCTTGGATGATGAAGCTAAGACCATATTTGGTCCAGAGGCCAAAGCCAAAAGAATTGATGCTTTAAAAAAGTAAGCACTATAATTCATTTTATCAAAATATTTTTCATGTTTTTTAAAACTATGTCGCTTATCAGTTCTTTTGATTAACTGTGAATTAATATGTGAAGTGTTAACACTCCAATGATTTATATACCAATGAAGCAGGCCATGCTCAAACCTCTGGGTTACCGATTTCCAAACGTAAATTTGTTTCCATAAATTTTCATATTTTGGAATCGTTTAAATGAGTTTATTTAGTCTGGTTGCTGCGTGTATTCGCTTTCATAAAATGTTTACGATCAATGTTGAATTTAGTTACTCCGAAACTCAACCAACTGCTACCTTGACGCATGATGTTGGTCAGTATAAGAGTGAATCAGAAAAAACCGGAAGCGCTCACACTTAAACGTGGTATCAGTTTCTGAAATTACTATCTATTAATCTGAGTCACATGGGTAGATAATGGGGTTCACACGATAGCCGTCATTAGTAGTGGAAGACTTCGGATGATATGACTTAGAAGCGGTCAAAGTGGAGCAGGTGCATTCACTCATTATCTTTATCTATATTTAGATCTCCACTATTCCCTCATAAATACTTTTCCACTCTGGCTTTTGGAATTATATTCTCAGTGTCCGATTTTTTCCGTCATCATTGATACTGTATAATTTCGATTGTTTTGCTATTCATCTTTTTAAAATTCTCTCATCATGCTTATATGTTAACCGAACGGACATGCGTACCAGCTTCTACTTTTATCATGACTGACTGGCTGTAGGACAAAGTGAGCATTATTACTGACTTTAATAATTTGTGTTTTGTATAGCTAGCAGCATCAAACTTATGACATTGCATAAAAAGATTTACATAAAACTGACGTGCCTTATTAGTTTTTGAATTATTATTACAAAATATTTTATCAGTTCTCAAAGTGGCTGTATGTGGCCATGTTTGTAATCATAAGAAGAGATAAACTTAGTATTCTAAAATGTTGTATAAAATGTTCATCGGTTAATATTGTTAAACTTTGGAGTAATCTGCTGAAATGATATTGGGACAAACAATCTCTACAACCACTATACTGACAAGAAACAAATGTAGGTGCATTCAATTGATGAGTTCCAAATAAGACGAAACGTGCTTCTTAAACATAACACAAAGCCACATCCCATCCATTCTTTATGACCAAGAAACATTTTTCGAAAGGAGAAAACAAAACTAATGTCAAAATACTGGCTATATAAACAATAAAGAAATAATCGGGTGGTATTTTTACTATCTAATTTGTTTTAAGTCATTGGTTGCTAATATTATTATTCAAAATCACATCAAAGAAGTCTTTTTCTTTTAAAATTATTTCAATTAAAAATTCATTGACTTCATAAATTAATACAATAAGTTCATCATAAGCTCATAATGTGCTGGTTAACTGCTATCAAAATTCATTTTTATGATAAATATACTCGGTACGACAACAACAAAAAAAGCAGGAAGACTGATGATTACAATCCAGTTTAAAATAGATAATTAAAAGAACACAATTTTCAATTATAACATAAATCAATTCAAAATAATAAATAAACTTTGGATAACTAAAACAACTAATATTTGGAAAATTATTGTTCTAAATTTAAAATAATTTATACTTTTTAAACTATATAAACTTTAATAATTTTGAAACAATGCCAAAAGTCCTTCTTTATCTTTAATAAATAATAACACTAAATTCATTTTAAAGTCTTTTTTTTAATTTCAAGCAATCGATGATACCGTTAATTGTTTGTTTGATTTATCTAAACAAAGTTACCTGTTCATAGTTTCAAGTTTTTTAAATTTGTATATCAATTATATAAATGTCATGAAACAATTTTCCTACAAAACTTTGATCATTAGAACTGTAGTGAACAAGAACACGGGTGGGGACAAACGGATGTATTTAGCACAACAATTACAGTCTATCTTAACAAAATCTGAATACCATATATTAAATCGTCAATTTGCAAAACATTCATGCATCAAATCAAACTGGAGTGTTTCTATTGCAAACACCAATCCATTGTCTCCCATTCCATTGTTCACGCGTTTTCTTACAAATTCCATTATGTTCTCGCTTTACCTTTCTTGATCTTCGCCATCTTCCGCTGCCAGACATTACGTTCCTTTAACGCACGTTATATACTACTTATATCAATATAAGTAGCTCACACCACAGAACTATCCACAGTTACAGATATTCACGAATTTATATAGGAGGATCGAGTCCATTTAATTCTAATTTTGTAAATGTTTAATTACCCATCTTCGAAACCAATTTTTTTTTCAAGTATAACTGATTCGTATTAGCAGATAAAATCAAATTAGAAAATAAATTCAAATGGTTGATATTTTTCAAGCTTGTAGTTCACTGAACAATGGCTGTGTTACCAATTTCATAAACCGAAACGTGGCACATTTTTCTAACGTTTCATATTATGATTTTTCCATACATATTTAGTTTGCAATAAAACGTATCGTACATTTTACATAAAGGTTGGATATTAGAATTCGATACGGTCATTTACGATTATCATAATAATGAGAAAGACGATTTTTGTAGTTTTCATCATTGAATAACGACTGAATAAGCAATAATGAAGTTAACTATATGGTACTGGCCAACAATAGGAATTGATATCCATCGATTAAGGTGACTACAGCGTGTGCTACGTTTGACCGGCCATCACAAATCTTGATGTACAATGCTGCTTGGGATAGAAGTTGCTTGAAGGAAAACTTGAACCAATCAGAGTAAAATATAGCATCAGTCCACGAGATCACTGATTATTGATCATCAAATAGATCCTGAGTTCCTATACTACTTCATACTTTTTTACTCTGCTAGGTTTGTCTCTCTTTTTCAACCATCTCTCTATGCTCAGTCTTAACAGTATTGATACTATTATTATTTTAAGCCCTTCGTTATTTAACTTGTTAATTTCATCTTGCTGTATCAGGTCAGGTGCTATATTTATTGTGAGTGGCTTAATAACACCATCCGGAAAACCATTGAAACTGAGGAGCACTAGATAGCTGTTTCATCTTACTTTGGCGCTTCTCAGAATTGCACCCCATGGACCTCACACGGGATGAAATTCGGTTTATCCGTGATGAGAAATAACTTCTAAACCATCATCCTAGTGATGGCGAAGGTTAAGTTCAAATAATTTATTCATGTTACACTAACAAATAATCGAAAATTGTTCAGTAATATCTATATTAAAAATATATCCTTTCTATTTCAGATACTGCATCGACAAACTTGGCGAAAAAGAATTTCACAATGCATATCACTATCTTTATCAAAAACGTATTTTGGAAAAAAATCAATCTGGTGAACTAACAATACTAAATGGCTTAAAATCTTATTGTTCCGATGTGACTACCGGGTTTCTACTTGATCATTTATTATTTCTTGAAAATGATACAGTAAAACAAACAATAAATATTCAGTTATCTGAATCTGTTCATCAAATCTTAAACGATAATTTGTCATTTTATACGTAAGCTTAATTACGTAAACATAAGTAATTCATGGCTGTGAATTTTATTTCGATCTCTGGTTTTTCTAAACGTAGACTATAATCCCCATTATTTGGAAAGTTTTCCGTTCTATTCCTAAAAATAACAGTTACTATTGTTGTTTACTTTTTCATAACCTATTTTATTTTATGCTCAACAACTACTTGTCTTATAGATTTTATGCCCTGAAAACATTTCTCATTTTGTAGTTTCTATTCTAATTTGAAATAATTCCATCCATGAATAAATATACGGTTTTAGAAATTACCATTTATTAACCTGTCATTTTTTATTGTTACGCTTGATTATTAAACCACTGGTGTTTTTGAAAATAGATTTTCATTTTTCAGATAATACTTTGAATTTAGAAATAGTGGAGTAGATGCATTCACTCTTTATCTTTGCTCAGATCTTATTTTAGAAGATAATTAAACTTTCGATAGTGATATATTGTTGTCGTTGCTTACTACTATACCGAATACTAGGTTCTTTGTATTAGATAAATCATTAATAGTTTACTAAGTAAGTATTTAAGGTTATTGCTTATGAAAAACGATGTGATATGGCAAATCCCATAAGCATCCAAGATGAATGGTTAGTTCATAAAGTAATAGACAGCCTTCCCTCTATTTCTCAACTTGTAGTAACTTGAAGTCGCAAAGTGGAATAACCAAATACTATTGTCTTACTTCTTTTTCCCAGCAGTTTAGCCATCAATTGTCAGGGAGTCAAACAGAAGTAACGATCTCAATCTTATGACAGGTTAATTAAACTTCCATAAGTTAAAAAATTAAGTTTAACTAATTACGTCTGATTCTAGTGGTCCATATACTTCGACTAAGGCATAAGCTTGCTACTACTACTGTAGTGAACAAGAACACCAGTGAGGACAATCAGATGTATTTAATACAAAATTACAGGACTTGTTGATAAAATCTAACAATCACATAGTAAATACGTAATTTGAAAAAATCTCCATCACTTGTCTCATAATGACTCAGACTTCATTGATCTTCCATTTTCATACAAATTGCATTCTGGTTCCATTCTTTACTGTTCAATCCTCTTGTCTCTTTGCTGCCAGACATTCTGTTCACGACTAACACCATCTACTACTCATGTCAATATAAGTAGCTTACACCACACTACTACTACTGCTACTATTACTTATTGATTAACCTTTCTAATGAGTAATCTTCAGTAGATAAGTGTTACATGTCAAAATAGTCATATTTAGTCACTGGATAAACAAAACTGTATAGTGCACCATGATGTAACTGATCAACGCAAACTATCCACAAACATGTGGCTTAGCATTTCTTATCTCCATCTCTCTCCCTCCGTCATTTATTTCTCCAAGTTATTTCCATGTCTATGACAAGCATAATCACATTTTGGTGATCACATATCGATTTGTCTCTCACTGAATTTGATTAGCACCAATAATCTGTTCACGATCTGTTACAGTGGATGTATAGTGCAATGAAATGTGTCAAATTTATGAAAGTAGATCAGCAGATGAGTAGATAAACAAAGAGAACTGAATAGATTTTCTGGAGGGAAACAGAATGGCTCAACTATTGATTAGAATACAGAAAATTAGCTCACACTTCGAATACGTAATAATTTCAAGTGGCTGATCCATACATTTGTTTCTTAAACAGATTTACAAAATTGAACATTGGAATCAGGTGTTACGGTGTGACTGGTCTGAAGTCGATTCGTATTGTGACAGTTGACTTTCTAGCTTGCATTATTCATACTCGAGTTCAAGTGTTTTAGAGATGAGACTTCGGTGAACTCAGTAAGTTCAGTGAGAATGAATTTCATCTTAGTTTGATGAAGATACGATAGTCAATAATATTGAGATTTACCGAGAAAATTATCACTGCAGTCCTATAATGTAATTCATATTATTTTAATTAGGCATCTGAAATTTGTATTTACCGTATAGAAGTAAGTTTCTAATATCTTCTGTTTGATGTTTATGTATGTGTAATTGTCTAGAGATGTTCTGAAGTGTGAGTTGGATGTTGTTTGACCCTTTTATGATTATAAAATTACCAGTGTAAAATATCAAAGACTACAGCGTAGTGATGTCAAGTCACTTGAACTGCTAATCAGATTTCAACTTGGTCAGTAGAATTCGTTGTTTCCTAATAGATTAGATCGAAATATGACTGAATGATCAATCAACCGTAAATAGGTGATTTGCACAACATTTTTGGCCATAGAAATACACGTTAATTGTACAGACCAATCATAACGTTACCATGTATTTTGTTAAGATATTTTTACCAATCAATACCAGGCGCTCTCGTGCAATATAAATTGCTTAATTCAATACGCCATATTTAAAGTCAATTTTTCCCTTCATAATAGTGTTCAGCACAACACATTAAATAATATTTGTTTTATGTGTTGCAGAACTATCCTACTATATGAACTCAAATTCTAGAAAAAAAATACAGACAACGATGTATGAAATATATTTCCTGTTTGTTTGTTAAGAAATGATAAACAAAGGAGAAGAAGAGTAAAAAAGCCCTGGTGAATAATCAGTTATCACTATCAGAACAAAATCTACTCTAGAAGTAACTGACGTTTGATAAATTTCCAAAAATTATGACCTATCAGATATGACTTCACTTAAACTCATTCAAAGTTCATTAACTAAAAGTTTATCATCCACTAATTAGTTTTTGTAAAATAAAAGTTAACTACATGCGTATAAACAATTTTCAGCTTAGTTTCTGAATACAAATAACCGACCCCAATGAATATCGATCGTGTTATATCTCGAACTAACTGAGATTGGAAAGGTGAACCGTCGGTCACCAAATTGGTCGTTTATAAATAACATATTAAACGGGGCATCTAGAGGCTCTACGTGTGAAACCTGGTGAGCAAATAATGCTATATACTCCTATCTATGATAAAGCTTTTGGCTAACAATGTCTGGTTTTTAATGATTTTTAAGATAAAGTTAGTCTATGATGAAAACTGTCTCCCAAATTGGTTAATCACAATAGCCCTCCCGTCGTAATAACGACATATTAGTTGGATAACTGCCCAGATTTCTGAAATTCCTTCATATGAGCACTTGAAAAAGACATATTTTTCAAGTTGACCAGAACAAAATGGTTAGTTATCATTCAGACAAACTACGTCAAAGGAAAATAACTCAACACAAAGGCTATTAATAACAAATACATTTATATTCAATGATAAAAGTGAGAATATTTAATAACAATTCAGTTCTTGCTAACTCTGATCTGTTATTATTATGTTTTTTAATCACTTGAATTGAACTATAAACCGCTCTTTCAAAATTTTTCCATATAATTCTGATACAAATTAAGTCATTACCAAAAATGATTATTGTTATCAAAACAGTGCTAAAGTTTATCTCTGAAATCAGAAAATATCACAACTAGATTTTTATTTAAAACAATTAGTCCCTTTGATAAATTTCAATAATGCAATGTGAAATAGTCATTTGATTTTGTTAACAGAGAACACTTTGTATCAAAGAAATCATGTTTTAAAAAGACAAGTATCAAAGTTCTTAAATAACTAGGGGCTAATATATAAGACGTAAGCTATTACTTCTAAGCTCTGATGTATTTTATCATTGAAATACTTGAGACGGTGATATATATATATATATATATATATATATATATATATATATATATATCCGACATTTATTTAAATATTATCGTACAAATGCATAAGCTTAACTTACAATTAAATTTAGTAGGTGTCTTTGAAATTTTTTCAATGTACACAAATGAACATAATAGTTTTTAATTTTAACTTTTAGTTTGATCACCTGTGAAGTTAACTCTGAGTCAACATCCAATGGACCATATCCATTAGTGATGATCCCCGGAACAGCTGGGTGTCAAGCTTTTGCTGTGCTGAAGAATGATCCCAATCATAAGGCGCTACCTGTATGGTTAAATTTGGAATTTTTTGCATTTATAAAACATTTTACTGAGTATTTTAAGTTAGTTTAATGTCTATTTTTTGTGTCATACAAAATCTGGAAATTATAAAACAACACTATTCTAGATTACAGTATGATCCAAAAACTGGTCACAGTTATGATGCTGAAGGTGTTGACATTATTTTTCCAGGATGGGGTGAAACATGGTCAATTGAAAATCTAGATGAGAGACCAAATATGTTTTCTGAATATTTTGGTTCATTGGTTAATGCTCTAAGAAAAGATCCGTTTTATGTATCAAATTTCACAATGAGAGGTGCACCATATGATTTTAGAAAAGCCCCAAGTAAGACATATTTTTGTAGAAAAGTTTTGCGCACTTAACGTTTTAGATGAAAACGGTGAATTTTTCAACAAATTAAAAGCCTTGATTGAGGAAACTTATGAAAATGCAAAACAAAGACCCGTTGTCCTACTACCACATAGTATGGGGTGCTTATTTGCTCAGTGGTTTTTGAAAAAATGCGATATTCCATGGAAAAAGAAGTATATAAAATCTCTGGTGTTTTCCAGCTGTCCATTCGGGGGTTCTGTGAAAACAGTGAAGATTGAAGCTAGCGGTAAGTACGTTTTAAAAATAGATGCTGACAGCGAAGTGTTTAAGAAATTAGTCTGGCTATGAAATAATCGAATTTAATCATATTTATAACAACCCCCGAAATAGAAAGATTACACTCACTAATATGCACATAGACACTCCCAAAAGTGAGTAACATCCATAAAACACAAAGTAACTAACTAATTATTTGTTGTAAAGAAATTTTAAGTTCGGTCAATAAATTTGGGGAGTTTAACTTTTGGTGAGTATCAAGCCATTGTTGAGTATACTGGATAAATGATAACCATGAATTATAAAATGCTAATCTTCTAGTAAAAAATGATTATTATTTAGACAAGTATTGAAGATCTTGTTAAGGCCTTAAATTTATTTAAGTTTGACCTACTATTCAGTTATATATCAGCTTCATGGGTAAAAATTGGTTAAAGTTAAGATTTTTAAATTCTACTGAAGGGAACGCGTGTTTCACTAAACAATAATGTCAATTTCTAAGAAATGATACTCTTAAATAGAATAGACTTAAATTCTAAGTTTGGAAAGTGAATAATTAAAAAATATATATATATGCTGGGTTAATAATGCTTTTCCCATAAATCTTCTATCGTACACTCATGAATAAGTTATATATGAAAAAGTCACATGAATATAACTTACTTTCTATCATTATCATTATTCAGAAATATTAAAATTTGTAACCTAAAATAAACATGAACGTGAAAACTATGAAA